GACTGTTTGGAAAGACTATAAATAAAATGGGCTTCCACTGTTACAATGTAATGTTACTAAGAGTAAAGTTAATTTTGAGAGAGAGGGAGGCATTCAAAATAGAAATTGTGAACAAGAGGCACAAAGAGACGAAAAACCAAGTCAGAGAATAAAACGGGAGCACGTGGGTACGATGTATCACACGTGCATGCGAGTACTGATGGAAATTCAGAAATCATCATACACCTGAGTCCGGACCTGACCCACTTTCCCCCTCAGTTCCCAATGGGATAAAATATAGAATAGAATTTGGGGAGCTAGAGCTAGAGTCCCAATTTGCATGTATTTTTATCCTTTTATTTTCAGTTGTTCTCTTGGCTAGTTAGGTAGATGATGAGATGCAAAAGCAGAATAGCTCTCTCCCCCTCCGGTCCAGGTGCACCGAATTTCCGGATAAAACCAAACATGACCCAGAATCCATACGGTCATACGGTTGCTTTGACAGAAGAAAGAAAAAAGGAAAGTCCTTTCAGTTTCAGTCTTGTTTGGTGGGCTTTACAACCAGCTTTCCATTCTGCTATTTAAAAAAAGTTATTAAAACTCTTTCCATTCCGGAATGGGGATCATGGTTTTTAAAAACGAACTGTTGATTGAACCGGTCAGGGTCCGGCCGGTTATCAGTTCAGACGGTCTGACCATTTCGACCCGAACGGCCAGCCCGTTCTGATAAAAAAAATAAAAAAATTGGAAAACGGTCAAAACCGTTTGAACGGTTCAAACGATTAACCGGCCGGTTCAGTGGTTTGCTGACCAAAATCAATGGTTTTGGGGGGAAAAAGCGGTTTTGGAGGAAAACAGAACCGGTCAGGCCCGGTTTTTCCGATCTGACCATCTGGTCCGGTCCAGTTTTGAAAACAGTGGTTGTCGTTGCTCCAGAAAACGGTGACACATCAGCACTATGCCAGAAAAAAAAAAAAACGATTCTCTATGAAATGCCTATTTGTTTGGAATTGTTTTTCATAAAAAATTGTGCTCCAAGCCACGTCTTGGAAATCGAGAAGGCATAGTTTGGAGCAACGCCGAATAAAAAGTCCATGTCTGTTTTCAGCACTATAGCCATTATAGAAAGTTCACGTCACCGCCACATCACATCCTCATTAGCAACAATGAGCTGCAATCTAAGAAAACACCAAATTCGGCGTTGGTTCAATTTCCAAAGCATGGCTTGAAGCACCATTTTTTAAGGAAAACGGCTTTAAACAAATAAGCGTTTCCTCCAGGAGCACTAATTTTTCTGATGTGACGCTGATATATCACCGTTTTTTGGAGCAACGACATCGATGCCAAACAAACGCTTTCCTAACCCTCTATTTATAGTGCGGACTAATTTATTTATCTTGGAAGGTGTTGCCACGTGGCAAATTACCCCTTTAAAGTTTTAAATGAAGTAGAGAAGCATGGTGGGAAAATATCTAAATACATGATCAAAATTTAAGTTCTCCCGATTTATAAATTGTCTGAATTTGGGCATCTCTCCATGGCCCATGCCACAAAAAAGGAGAACAGCTTAGATTGGTGGGTTATTCATCTTCAACCAAGATTTGGAAAACCGACCACAGTTGTATGGCAGCTTGGCTTTGATGGGGAAGACTATGCAATGGAAGGTTAGGCTAAGCACATGATGCATCCTTCCATGTGGTTGAGATAGGATTGGCTGTTTGGAAGTGGAAGCTCTTGTGCCCATTCGTGTGTGTGTGTGTGAAAGTGTCTGAGGAATCAATAATTAAAAGGAAATAATGTTGGAAAAGGAGAGGTACCCAGAACCCATCAGCCCCAAAATAAAAGCACAAGAGAACAAAAAAGAGGCCCTCGTGCAACCAAGGCTTGGTTGTTATCATAACTTTATTAATAGAGCAAGGATAAAAGATGGCATGTGTGGGTATGGGTTTGTTGCTTCCCTTTTCCTTCTTCCATATCTAATACATATACATCCCTTTACGCCAGCACCTTTCCCTTATTCCTTGTGTATGTAACTAGTAACTACCCCTTTTCTGCACTTGTTTGGACCCCACCATAACTAATGTATTTTGCTAGCTCCACACATTGCATGCATATCCCTAGCTTCAACCACTAATTGCCACATCAGCAAGAAAAATATTAATAGTTAATATGACTGACATTGTAACTAGTGGCGTGTCTTTTGTTTCTTTGCTAGCGTGTCCAGAAGATGATGCATGTGAATCTCCTCCCCCCTCATATATACTATTATTCTTACTTAGTTGTTTTTCACATCTCATATCCCCATTTATACTGCATGCTTTAATTTAATTCTTTTTCTTTACATGGGTTAAATTAAAGACAAGGCTTCAATGTCGGCAACATTTTCTCCTCTGACGAATTTAAATAAAAGATAGGATTATTATGCCACTTGTCACAATTTAAAGGCATATACACGTGGCAATACTAGAGAAATGTATGTATGTATGTATGTTACTAGAAGGTACAATGATACTTGTCAAGTCGTAATTCACTATGCTTTTTATTTAAGATATCGTTTGGGTGAATTTGATGGATCATTGAATAAATAAAAGAATGAAACCTTATGTATGTCAAATCTCTATCTAAGGATTATACTGAATCTGATGGTCTTCCTGAAGTCACTATCCAGTCGAATTTTTACGCCAGTTGAAGACAAAAATATGGGATTGAAGAAGAAGAATTTCACTTGTATCTGATGCTAAAGTACTAATTGCGGACCTGATGAGGCAAGTGGCCAGTAGGAAGACCAACTCCTTTTTCTATATAGTTTATAAATTTTTGATCTGTGGACACATTTTGTTAATGTAGTAGCGTTGCAGTATATTGTAAATAGAACATATATCTAATGAAATGGCTCACGATATGGCCTACAAAGCCTGACAAAGTGGCTGATCTAGTACCTACCAGTGGAATGTTGGAAACAGACCACATTTAGGTTAGGTTTATAGGTTACAACAATGGTTATATATATATATATATATACTCATCTCCTTTGAAGGGGTTAAAAAGAGACAGATTTGCAGTTCCAGTTTGCTATTTATTGTTTATCACATCATTCAAACAGGAAGATCAATGCCTTCTACTTGCTTAATTGAATAGATTAGTATATATAGTGTACTAGCTCAAGGTAAATATACATAAAAATATCTTTTTATATAGTATAAATAATGAATAAAATGGTCACAATCAACTTATAACTATTTAATGACTTGTTAACTTATAAGGGGGCGTTTGCTTCCCTTTGGAATAATGGTTCATTTTATCATTTGTAACCCTCTAAGGAGGTGTTTGGTTCCCTGTAGATAGAGAAACTTATATGTGTTATTTTAAAAATGATGGAAATAGACCATATTTCCTCTTGGGTGGTAAGCCAGTGGTTCAATCATTCAAGTCAAACAGGTGGACTTGTGGTGTTATAATTATATAAGAAATTGGGCATGTTTCTTGTATCATATGCTCATCATTTTAAAGTTTAAACAAAAAAAAAACAAGTATAATGAGTGAGAATAGTAGTTATTAAATGTAGAAATGGCTAAAAATACAAGAAATACAGAAAAAAAAGATATATCTGACCCATGGCCATGATATACTGATTGGGTTGAACAGTATGATGGTTTGGTTTGACCAAACCGGTTATTGGGTTGTTGAATAAATCGACACTATTTATTAAAAGTTTAGGCGCCAGACAGACCAAAAGTCCTGGTTCGGTGACAGGTTAACCGGTCCTACTGATCCGGTTAATGGTGTGTTGAAAACATTAATTTAAATAACTTAAAACAAATCTATTAACAAACCAAAACCACTTCAAATTTCATAATGAAGCCGCGCTATTATTGAATAACATGGGTATTTTGGTAACCAATGTTTTTAAAATTGATCTAAAATTAGAATTTCTTTGTTTGTCCAAGTTGTGGGTTTTTCAATTTTATTAAAAAAAAGTGGTGGGCTAGCAGTTAAATTGGTTGAGTGAACTCAACCAATGAAAAAAAAGACATATCTCTGATTTAAGTGTGACAAATGAATTTAAATGGTTAAAAATACAAGAAAACAAAAAAAAAAATATTTGACTTGTGATCCACTGCCCGGTCAAATGGTTCAATAATTGAACGAACCGGATCACTGGTTCATTGACTGAGTAGGAGGTTTTCCATGTAATTCATAGCAAGTCCACAGACAACAATTTCTATGGACCATCTTTTTTGAGTTTCAGATTTTTTCAGTCCACAACCTCACCATACGACAAGAGTGTTTACTTGAGAACCTGTTGGTAGAGGAGCTGTCTGTCTCAACTCTCAACTCTCAATTCTCACTCCCCAGAAAAATCCTAACAGCTCTGCAGTTAAAACTTGAGAACCTGTTGGTAGAGGAGCTGTCTGTCTCAACTCTCACTCCCCAGAAAAATCCTAACAGCTCTGCAGTTAAAAACTTAAAAACAGGAACGCCGAACCCTCTCTTTATCTCTCTCTCACACACATAATCCGAAATTCACATGGCAGCCCAAGAGTCCGTCTGTTAGCGATTTGTCCATTGGAATTAGTAGATCTTGTTGACAGGCATGTGAAGGTCTGGGCCTTAGAGTACTTTTATTCTGCCTCCAATAGTGTGGCGACCATGTGCCACTTCACACCTATGACACGTTAGTGGGGCGGGAGGCCGAGATGGGGAGTTTCCTTTTCACAGTTTAATTCCTTAAAAATCTTTTATTTGCAATATCCTACATAATTGTTCAAATTTACAACCTTCAATCTCACATCTCTCTCTCTCTCTCTCTTTCCGTCCCTTCACCCTTCTCCAACTCCCTCCCCCCAAATAATTAATTACCAAATCTTGGAAAGTTGGAATCGTAGCGCTTGAATGAGCAGAGGCTGGTTAGAGCTTGGTTAAAAAAAAAAAAAAAAGGAAAGCTCTTTAGTCTTTCCTGTGCTTTACTGACTTAATTGGGTTTTTAATAGAGTGGTTATAGGATCCTGGGTGGGCGTGCATGGCCTTTGGCTTATGTGCGCTGTGGTCTCTCTCCTTGGAAAGCAGTCCAGCGGTCTATATATACCACTGACTGACTTGAACGTGAGCAACGGAGCATCAGAGCATATCCATTTCATTTACGGCTCTCTGAACTCTGTAGTGAGTGTTTTGAGCTTCTTGGGAGAACCAATGGCGGTTTTGGTGGTGGTTTTTGGGGTGGTTTTGGGGCTCTGTATCTGCACTGCCCTGTTGAGATGGAATGAGGTGAGATATAGGAAGAAGGGGCTGCCTCCGGGGACAATGGGGTGGCCTGTGGCTGGAGAGACTACAGAGTTTTTGAAGCAAGGGCCAAGCTTCATGAGAAACCAGAGAGCAAGGTCTGTTTTCCCTGTTTTTGTTATGGCTGGTGTTTCTTCTTTTCTTCTTCTCTCGATGCTAATTACCCATTTTAATGCATTTATGAAATATTGGTTCTTTCACGACCATGCCTTTCTTGCTCTTTTTTGTTCTTTCTCCTTATCTGGCTTGTTTTTGATGGTTAAGATCACCAGTTTTTCCTTGTTTTAGGGATGGTTTCTTCCTTGTCTCTTTTTCTGGCCATATTGGTTCAGATGCATTGGTGCTTACCATTGCAAAAACGTGTATCCTGTTTAAGCTATTTTTAGCTCTCTTTCCAAGTTAGTTTACATGCAAAAAGGGAACCTCCTTTTTACTGATATAAGTTGGTCTTCTAGCTTTCTAGTCTAGCAAACCTCCCACGAATAGAATACCGTTAATGAGAAATAGCTCTTGGTTCTTTCAAGAAGGTGGTTTATTTCTTGATTAAAAAAAAGGCTATGAAGATCTTAAGCATGAAAAAGCTTTTATGTCTTGGGTTTTCTTTCTATGAAACAGTTTTAACCTTGGGTCTTCTTGCTGATTTAGATTTGAATTACCATTCGAAGTCACTTATCGTTCTTACAGCTTCCCTCTGTAATTCTACAATTTTCATCAATATGTGAAAGTTTTCCTTTCCTTTGTCCACAAAACAGGTATGGAAGCTTATTCAAATCACACATATTGGGCTGCCCTACGATAGTTTCCATGGATCCAGAGCTCAACAGGTATATACTGTTGAACGAAGGAAAAGGTCTTATTCCCGGTTACCCCCAGTCCATGTTGGATATTCTGGGGAAATGCAACATTGCTGCTGTTCATGGTCCACTACACAAGTCTATGAGAGGAGCCCTGCTTAGCCTCATAAGCCCTGTCATGATCAGAGAGCAACTTCTTCCAAAGATTGATAAGTTTATGAGATCCCACCTCAGTAACTGGGATGGAAAAACTATCGATATCCAAGAGAAAACGAAAGAGGTTAGTTGAATCTTCAGAACCCAAAACAACTCTGACTCAGAAACGAACCACATTATCGATTAACAGTAGCTAAATTTCTTTGCTGTTTCTGTCTGCATTTCAATTAAATAAACTGTGAGATCCAGTGAACAACCGTAAAGGCCTTGTGGTTAAATAGCAGAAGAGAAGCAAAAAGAGAGAAATTTATTAGCTTTTAATATAAATTTACTTTTTAAGCTTCACAGAATCAATAGATCATTCACCGAGTCATCGGGTAGAATAAAAACTTGCATATTTCCAAGAAAAATAGACAGAACAGCAAAAAAGAGGAAAATCCCATTAGTTGGTCATTTCCAGTTTTAATTTACAGTATTCTGTTCTCTTGTGCAGATGGCTCTGTTGTCATCACTCAATCAGATTGCTGGCACCGAATCCAGTTTGATAGCTGAAGGCTTCAAGCCAGAGTTTTATAAACTGGTTCTAGGGACCCTTTCACTGCCAATCAATCTACCAGGGACAAATTACAGACGTGGATTCCAGGTATGTTATTGAAAAAATGATTCTTGATGTCTTATTTTTTTTGGGTGAACCTTTTCACTTACTGTAGTTCCACAGGCACGGAAGAATATCATTAGCATGTTGAAAACAATCATAGAGAGAAGACGAGCCTCTTCATCTATCCACCATGACATGCTTGGTGGCCTATTGAGAGGAGAAGACTCAAGATACAAACTCAGTGATGAGGAGATTATTGATCAGCTAATTACAATCCTGTATTCGGGTTATGAGACTGTATCAACCACTTCAATGATGGCTGTCAAGTTCCTCCATGATCATCCAAGAGCACTTGAACAATTAAGGGTAGGTTTGGAACTGCTCCTTTTAGGTTTTATAAATTCATTTTATGTTCTTTTGTCTGATTTCCTGATTTTTATCTGGTTTCTGTTTCAGGAAGAACATTTAGAAATCAGAAGAAGCAAGGGACCAGAGGATCCAATCAACTGGAATGATTACAAATCCATGAGTTTTACTCGTGCTGTAAGCAATTTAGTGATCCACCTGTTTCTTTTAATTAAAAGGAAATCAAAGAAATGAAATTCATTATTCTTTCTTGATGCAGGTGATCCTTGAAACTGCAAGACTAGCTACCATTGTTAATGGAGTGCTGAGGAAAACAACTCACGAAATGAAATTGAATGGTGGGTTCAAGAGTCCTGAACTAGTTGTAGTTCGTAACTTGTATTGCTATTTGGTGAAATGACATCATGGTGTTGATCTGACTGATTTTTCTGTCTTTTCTCCCTTTCCTGTTTTTATAAACTTCATGGTTAACAATTCCTATTGGGAAACTATTTACTCCTTTCGATTTTTAGAAAAAGTGTTCCAAGCATTTAGGGGGTGATCTTCAATGTTAATTGTTTTTCTTGTTTCCAGTTCCAAAAAACAAAACAAAACAAGACCAGCTGGTTTAGAAACAAATTGGTTCTTAAAAAAAAAAAAAAACTCAGAAAGCATGTTTTTGGTTATATGCATGTTTTTCATTTCCAAAACTGAAACCAACAATATATTCTTGAACTTCTGATTTAAAGAACATGTGTTATCTGGTTATTTTATATCATGTTCCATAATCATATAATTTCTACACTACAAAATTTGTTATGGTTTTAAAAAACAATATTTTGATGATTCCAAGAAACATGCATTGTTTTTTAAAACAAAACCAACTTGTTTTTGCCTTCCAAAACAAAAACAGAGTTCAAGAACATTATCATGTTCCATTTCTGTTTCTAGATCAGAGAGTTGGGTTCCTCTGGTGCTCCCATAGTTTCCTTTCACTCTTTCAAGCAGTGGGGACCAATTCAGTGATCTGATCGATATGTTGTGTCTTCCGGTTGCTAAGCCCCCATTGGGGTTGGGGATAGTCAATTTCATGTCCTCTCATCACATGATGCTCATTGAGTATTACTAGAAGTTGATTACCAAAATGTGTTAACATTTGTTTTTTGTTATTTTCAGGATTTGTTATTCCAAAAGGGTGGAAAATATATGTTTACACAAGGGAGGTCAACTATGATCCACTTCTATATCCAGAGCCTTTTACCTTCAATCCATGGAGATGGCTGGTTAGTGCCCATGAGTTCTAGTTATTTTTCTTGGAGTTTTGAGCCATGGAAAGAGCGATATCAGTATCATCAGAAACTCTTGGATGGTCCTTGAGTCAATAGCAATTATCTTTCTTTTACTTTACCTCCTTGCTTACAAAGCGTACAAGCTTATTTGGAAGGCCAAATTTGCTTATGGGGCATAGCTACAGTTTGCCATAACTGAAGCCCCATATTGCCACACTGCTGTGGCCATGCTTCAAGTCTTTCAATGATCAATATTAGATTTAGTAAATCATATTTATTAATTGGCTAAATAACCATTGTTGTCCATTCAGGATAAGAGTTTGGAATCGCACAACTACTTCATGCTATTTGGAGGAGGAAGCAGGCTATGCCCAGGGAAGGAATTGGGTGTAGCAGAAATCTCCACATTTCTTCACTATTTTGTGACTAGATACAGGTAATCTACACGACTCCCCTCCTGGTTTGTTTTTCTGTAACATCTTAAACATCTAATGGACTTTGACTAACTCTGCACTTGAATGATCTTGTTGCAGGTGGGAAGTTGGAGGAGATAAGCTACTAAAATTCCCTAGAGTTGAAGCACCAAATGGACTTCATATAAGGGTTTCAAGTTATTAATTGTTCTTCAGATGGATGTACAGAAATATAGCATTATAGAAGTTTGGATGTAAAAGATGTTCCTACAGATGAATAAAATGAGATAACAAAATTTTCCTTTTGTCGGCAAAACCAACAAACTGGCTCCTGAATACGAGTAAATGGCACCCTAGTCGTCATAGCTCATGTTATCAAATTACTGACAGATGACTAATTCCTACTGGAAGAATCTAAAGACTCAAGAGGAGGAATATTTGAAATACTTGCCCACCGTTTAACTGCCCAAGTAGAGAAAGCTAATCAGGACCAACCCTGTTGACGAAATTACATGAAAATCAAGATTTGCTTACAGAGGGCCATGTCCAGGATCTTTGCATTGGTACGAGACCTGTTGAACTGTTAAAACAACCTTGTCTAATTAGTGGCTGATTTCAGAAAAAAAATGAGCTTCACGGGATCGTTGTTTAACTTGTTTTTCTCGTTTCTTAACCTGTTACTGCTTGTTACGGCAACCGCTTGGCTCTCTCTATCGCTGTATCGCATTCACATCTGAATCTGAGGCAACGCTATGACAGCACAAGCTCACGTCGGCTTTCTGGCTGACTACTCTCAGCCCATTCTGGTGCTAAATGCTAACTTTTCTGAGGGCGTGAAGAGCAACCTATTGCTAGTTGTTAACTTTCTATACCTACCAACTAGGGTCCTCTGATGATATTTCCCAAAAATCACTGATTTCTGAGAGAAATTGTCTGTAGGGTACCATTGATGTCATGTCAGCTAATTTTTCAAAAATTAGTTATGATTTTGCTTGGTAGTGATTACCAACAATGATTCTTGTGTTTATGGAAATTATCTCACATTATCAAAAACTAATCAGAATCTGTTTGAAAAGAGGAATTATTGAATTTGTTGATTTCTCTTTTCAGCCCTGATTTTAATAATAATTTTATGATTTCTCAGAAATCGGCCAACCAAATACCAAAATAATCAGTGATTTTTGAATTGCTGGTGTGTCTCTGATGTGGTGCCAATTTCTGAGAAATCGGCATCGGTCCCAAGCATCACTCTAATCTCTTCCATTCCCCATTCCTTTAAATAAACCCTGCATATAGATGATTCTCAACAAAGTGCAGGAGGATCAACGATGCTGCTACTACTACTGAGTACTGTCCATTAGGGGAGGGGGGGGGNGGGGGGGGGGGGGGGGGGGTATGGGCCTGCACCCACAAGCTTGCAAGTTGCAAGATGGGCTTGGCATTATTCGTAGAACCCATGATGAAGTTGAGGTAGAAAGCGGCTATAGAAATACAACCAAAAATAGCAAAATGTCTCAGCAAACGATACCAACCGAGTGTATTATAACTTCCCCAGTTTTCACTTCGGGCTTTTTGCGAGGGATACCAGAAATGGGCCTGTCCTGTTGTCTATGGCTTCCTCTTCATTGGTAGACTCTGTCTGATTTACAGGACTAGAAAGCACGTGGATATGAATGATAAAAGCTAAACCTAATCAATCCAGTAGCCTTTCCAAGAAAAGGAAGTTGAAAAGAAAAGAAATGAAGATTGCCTGGAAAAGAATGCCAGTGAAAGAGGAAAGCCCATTTATAGGCCATTCAAGTTTCAAGCAAAAATAAAACTTCTATGTTTATGTCTCAACTCTCAAATTGGTATTTGCTGTCTTCTTCACAGTCTGTAATGACATAATGTATGGACTGAAAACCTCAAGACTCAAAGGAGGAATAAAGCCTAATCTCATCAGAAACCTGACCATTAATAGTTTTAGATGAGGAAACTTTTATGTGGATGTTTATTAAGCATGTCAACAACCCCACCATGACGATCAGAACACCAACTTCTGCCTAAGATTGATCAGTCTATGAGGTCTTCCTACCTCAGTTATTGGGATGAAATAATGGAACAAAAAAAAAACTATGGTTGTCCTAGAGAAAACGAAAGGGGTCAGTTGATTGAATCTTCAAAACCCAAAAGAACTTTCACCAAGCTGCATATATATAGTAAGTAAACACTAAACAGCACTTGAGATCCAGCAGCTAGCGAACCACTGGAAAGTGGAAAAGAGCCAATCAGTACTGATGTGGTGCATGTGTATCGTTATTGACACAATATCAAGGGAGAGGAATTCTCAATCAGGGAAGAAGATGAAGATATATTAAAAGTTCATTGGTTTCCATGAAACGATGAAAACTCTATTAGTTGCAGTTGGAACCCTGTACCTATACGCAACCAGGAAACCTCATCCACTTTTAATTTCGTTGGAGGGACCTTTTCACTACTCATTAAACCTTTCATGGACAAATTACAGCTATGGATTCAAGGTTTAGTATATAATTCATAATTTGACCATTTCTTTCTCATGTTTGGGGAACTTTCCCACTTGATAGAATGAAAGAATATCATCAGATTAGCATATTGAAAACAATGGTGAATGGAAGAAGAGATTATTGATCAACTACTCAGTGAAGAAGAGATTATTGACCAACTACTTACAATCCTGTATTATTCAGGGTGAGGTGATCGAGACTGTATCAGCTACTTAAAATGATGTCTGTCGACTATCTTCATGAGCAAGTTACTGTTGATCAGGCCAGATTCATCGTTGTCACTGTTACACCATAAATGGGCATAACTACTTCCTGCTATTTGTAGGAGTAAACAGGTTATACCCAGGGAAAGAATGGAGTATTCCCCCCCTACTAGTTTGTTTTTCAGTATCATCTTAAGCAAGTAATAGGTAAGAACCCATGACTAACTCCATACTGAAATTCCCTAGAGTTGCAGCACCAAATGGGCTCCATAGAAGGCTTTCAAATTATTAATTTGATTAAAATGTCGGATGTAAGACCAAATGGCTTACATTGGGCACTGTTAGCTTGATGGGCTTAAATCCTAGACTGCCTATCCAGAATTTTACTACAGGCCCAAAGGGGCATACATCACAAGTCAACAGGCCCAATCAGGCCAGAAGCAGAGCCCGTAGTCTCATAGAAGCCAATCAACAGCAGCACCCCACTTGAAAGCAAACCCAGCAAACAAAAAACAATTAAAACCCCAGGAACCAGCAAAATTGACCATGAATAGTGTCCAGACACCAAACCACTGTTGTGTTTGTGTTCTACTTCTACCTGAATCTGACTGGACGGAGGCGGGAGGACCTTGTTTTCAGTTTTCGCGGAGTGGGCTTGGGTTTTTCATTAGCACAATAGGGCTGGTTTTAAAATTGTCCAAAAATGCGGATCTGACATAAAAATTGAATTGGGCTTCCTTCCCATAAAGGATATGCGTCGTCAAACTCCTTACACAGGTTTCCACTTTCCACATTCCAGCCTTGATTCTTCTCTACCGGTTTCTGGACAACCAAAAGATCTGTAAGCCTGTAAGGTCAAATTATGCAATGACAGATTTTTCTCTACCTTTTCTTACAAACCAAACACAGCTTGAGCTTGAGGAGAAACCGGGAAACCCCTTGTTTCTGTCTATGATTATAAGAAAGAAGAAAGGGCAAACAAGCATTGGCCTCAAGTATCCCCCTAGTCTACATTCTAAAAGGGCAAAGACCCATTTTTGACATTCCCAAACAGTCCATGACCTTGGGGGATTTACTCAGTCCGACTCTAGAATAGGAAGAGCTGAGGCAAGTCAACCCCTAACCAAGTCTACCAAGCATGAGTCTAAGAACTTTCTCTTTTTTTTTTTCCCTTTTTTTCGAAGGGTATAGTCTAAGAACTTTCTCAGAACTTCCTATTTCCCTCTTATTTTTTTATCAAATCATGCATAGCCCAAGGGTTATTCTATAAAAGAACTTTCCTACTCCAACGTGGAGAGAGGAGGTGACAGACTGACAGTTACCTTCCCAGTCCAAGTCAGCTCTAGATCCCACCATTATTGGATTACTTTTCTCTGTCAAATGATGATCTTAGCTGTTTATTTAAACAAAATAATAAGGGTAAATTATAAAGATCCCCTGTATTTTGTTTTGCGACAAAGACCCCTGTATTATGACTGTGAGACAAATGTTAAAAATTGCTAAGATTCCAGTCCAAGTCAGCTCTAGATCTCACCATTATTGCATTATTTTTCTCTCTCAAGTGATGATCTTAGCTGTTTATTTAAACAAAATAATAAGAGTAAATTACAAAGACCCCTGTATTATGACTGTGAGACAAATATTAAAAATTAGTAATTGTTTTCTACTTGCTTGCATTTGTTTTGTTTACCAAGTCAAATAAGTTAGTTCCTAGTTAGGGGTAGAGATTTTGTAGGTGGTTGGTTAATGTTAGTGGAGAAATCTTAATGTTAGTATCTCTCTCTCTCTATATATATATATATCTGTGTGTGTGTGTCAGATGTAGTTGAATTGCCAACAACCAAAAGAAGTCCAAATAGTACTAGTATTTTTTCCAATATTTCCCTTATTTTTCTCTTAGTTATCCAATATATACTATAATTTTTCCTCTCTTTTTGTTATAACAAAGATCCCCTTCTGATCCTCTCTTTTTGTTATAACACTGATGCAATATTTTTTAATTCCCATACTACTGTTGCAACAACTATTCGGAAAAAACACAATTCATCTTCTCTGACCTCACGATACACGAACAGCAGCGGGACTTCCGAAGTCCTCTCTCTTCCCGATCTTTCTTTTTTTCCCTTCCCCTTTCTCTCCTCCCCTTTCTTCTTCCCGAAGGATAGCTTAGTGTTTAAGCACAGCAATGAACCGCGGCGAACCCTCAGACGACCTATCTAAGATTAGGGGGGAGATCCTCAGTAGTGGTGACCCTTTCACTCTTCCACGGACTGATACACTTATCGAATGCTCATACGGGAAAATTGACTCTTGGGTCTGGAACCTAGAGGGTTGGAGAGGTGGCGACACCAGTCTGAACTGAGGGAAGCCCTATGAGTCACTGAAAGGACGGCAGGAGGGCCCTTGATCTATCAATAGAGGGAGCAGAAAACGGGCTTTGCTCCCCTTTACAATATGAAGAAAGAAATAAGGGTCAAAGTTTAGACCGCTTATCAGAATGGTACCCGAATCCATTTACGGTCCCGAATTTTCAGACACATCTTACTTCCTCTCGGGTCAGGGCTTCCCTTTTGCTCTCTTTTCTTTTGTTAAAATATTCTTAATTCTTATAATTTTCTCTGCACCTTCTCGTATTCGCCCTAAAAAGGAGAGTTAAAACTGGGGAAAAAGAGGAGCGAAAAGCTAATCTAAGTCATCTGGTTTTGAACTTCGAAGAGTGAGCGAGAGAGGAAAGATGGGGAGAGGCTTGAGATTGGATAATAAAGAGAGAAAAAAAGGTGTTTGACTGAAAAAACCGAGGCGATGAAGACTTTGAGTAGAGACTAGAGAGAGAGAGAGAAAGGACTAAACAGTGTCACAGATCTCATTTTCAACTTTTTAAGTGCTTTATTTTATTCAAATCCTCTGTTCTTCTTGTAGTTTATTCGTCCAGATCATTGGAGGAGGGCACGGAAAACAGAAAACAGAGGGAGAGAGAGAGGGGGAGGGGGAGGAATTCGGAAGTTTGCACATCACCATCACTCATCTGGTTCGCGGATTTCAACAGAAGGGGGTCTTTGTGTACAGGGGGTGTCTTTGTTGCAAAACAAAGTATAGGGGGTCTTTGTCACAGACCCCATAATACAGAGGAGGTCTTTGTAATTTTCC